GCGAGCGAGAAAGAGAATGAGTAGCTTGGTCGTTAGCAGGAGGGGGCGGGGGAAACTACTAACAATCAATTCCTTCATTCTGTCTATAATTATGATCCGATCTAATTCAGATTCGGCAATCTGGCAGATATGGTCATTTTCTACGATACTGCGTTTTTAGTTTCACCGTATCTTTAAAATTGTGGCTGCCACAGATTTTCGTCCTTTGTGAGGGCGGAAGGTGGCGGGGCGAAATTTTGAAATACACTTGTAGCAGTGTGATATCACATGAGTCTGGAAACCAAATTTGGTTCCTCTAGCTTTTATAGTCTCTGAGATCCAGGCGCTCATCAAGACGGACGGACGGTCAGACGGACAGACGGACGGACAGACGGACGGACAGACGGACTTCGCTATATCGACTCGGCTATTGATGCTGATCAAGAATATATATACTTTGTGGTATATACAACCAACCCAAACCCAAATAGAAGAAACACCGCGGCGGGAAAAGGCAGAAACTGCTACAACAAAGAAGGCTGGTGGAGATCCAGGCGTCAAACAAGACGGACGGACAGACAGACATGGCTCTATCGACTCTATTGATGTTGATCAAGAATATATATACTTTATGGGGTCGGAAACGTTTCCTTCTCTGCGTTACACACATCATCTTTTACCACAAATCTTATATACCCCTTAACTCTTTTTGAGTACGGGTATAAAAAAAAATTTTTTACATATTAAATTTTTTTGCTACATATGTATGTTATCTACATCTACTACGTATATAATACATCTCACAAGTAGGTTATACATGTAACATTTAAATTCTACGTCTCTTCCGTTAGAGGGCGCTCGCGTACACAACGAGGCGAGCGAGAAAGATAATGAGTAGCGGGTCCTGGCTGGAGTAGGCGGGCGAAGCAACTGAAAATTAATTTCTTCATTCTGGCTATAATTATGATCGGGGGGGTCATTCTCTATGAAACTGCGTTTTTAGTTTTATCGTATCTTTAAAATTGTGCCTGCCACAGATTTTCGTTCTTTGTTGGTGCGGAAGGGGCGGGGCGAAATTTGGAAATACACTTGTAGCAGTGTGATATCACATGAGTCTGCAAACCAAATTTGGTTGCCCAAGCTTTTATAGTCTCTGAGATCCAGCCGACAAACAAGACGGACAGACAGACAAGAATCTATTAAGGATTAAGAATATATATACTTTATATGGTCGGAAACGTTTCCTTCTCAGCGTTACACACACATCCACTTTTACCACAAATCTAATATACCCCTTAACTCTTTTTTGAGTACGGATATAAAAATTCATGCCAAGAAATATTTTTTTCTTTCGAATTTTCTTGAGTTTTTTAAATTTGAATTTAAAAGCTTAATTTCTTCCAGACATATGCTGCATCTACAAAGTGTCTGGGTCGGATTTATAGCTGCATTTGTCAGCTTGTCAGAACCGCAAAATTCTCTGCAACCAGATATAAGATACTTAAGTTTTGTGAAAAATAGAAGCACTTCCTCTGTAAAAAAACATGAAAAATATACTAAACCAGCAGACCCGCGCGCTTTGCTGCTTACTAAATGAATTTATTGTTTAGGAATTCATCGAAATTAAAAAATGAAAATGATAATTTTGATGTAATGACATATTTTATTTATTGCAATGCTTTGTGATAAACAATATTCTTTGTTTTGCCGTCGGTACAATGAATAATTTATGCCGAAGGTTTGCCTACTCGTGAGCACATTACATACAGTTGACCATGTGAAAATACCAGATGCTCCAAATTTAAACCACAAATTTGCAACGACTTTCCTTGTGATTTATTAATAGTCATAGCAAAAGCAATACGAATCGGAAATTGTAGTCGTTTGAAATCAAATGGCATGTCAGTCGGAATCATCGGAATTCTCGGAATTAAAACGTGTTCACCACAAAATTTCCCAGTCAAAATAGTTGCTTCAAGTAAATTAGTCATAACTTTTTTACAGCAAGTCTTGAACCATTGCAAAGTCGTGGTGGATTAAGATTCCGCAGCATAATTATGGTGGCTCCAACTTTTACTTGTAAATAGTATGGCGGCAATCCAGGTAAGTCCAATGAATTTAGAAATTCGACTGGATAATTTACAACATCATCTTTATTAATAATTGTATCAACCGACCTACACGCTTTGTTCCGGCCAAACCTGCTTTTTACCTCAACCAGTCATGGTTTCTATAATTTTGTACAATATTTGGAAACACGCTCTTAATCAAGTATTCCTTCGATGACACAAAAGTGCAAAAATTATTTGGAAGCGTTATGAAGCCAGAATTGTCAACGGGAAGTATGCCATTACCAATGTCTACAGTGTCGGAAAAAATCTGCTGACTCGTTTTGCAATTGAACCGTACTTGTAGTCATCTAAGTGTTTTCACAGAGCGCCACAATTAGTGTTTTCAAACCGCTATCATCAGCAGAGTTCCTAGTTTGACTACGGCAATGTTTGTCTGAATCACCTGCTAACAATCTGCACCACCAAACAATCGGTTATTCCACGTCTTCAACGTACGATTAGTCTCCAGTGACTTCTGTTGCCTAGTACACCCATCCCTATGGGCCTCGCTCCGCCATGCAGTCTTTTTGATGTTGCATGTAGGTTATCGTCAGCCTTCATTTCGGGGCCTTGGGGGTGCGCCGCGACCACCTCCAATATGTGGCCCCCCGGCCCCGCCCCCCCTCCGTCCCGCACAAACGCATTAAGCTCGGCACGATCATACTGCTGTTCACGCTCCAGTTCTTTGTTGAAAAGGTCGTGTATATCACGTTAGGCGCTGTCATACCTAATTGAGCTAAGCTGCTTGCCATCATCAAGCAATGGTCCAATAGCAATCAATGCTTCGTTGTAATTCTGGCGTATAGTCCATGTTTATATCACCCGTTTGACGGCGCAATCGATGTAAAAAAACCTGACAAATGATTTTGTGTTTTGCCACAATTCAATTGGCTTGCTGGACTCACGTGGCTATAATAATTGCGAAAAGTGTCGGAATTTGATGTGGACTTGATGACAATGCTGCATCTTCAAGTGTAAGATCCCAATGCATGTCATTCTCAAGCATATTCAATCGTTCGCATGCTTCGCGATACGTCCCACACAATTCTTCATCAACAGTTCGCAAAGATTCAAATGATGTTGGTCCACGAATATTTATTAGCAACAATCGCAAATAATAACACTCTTGATTGTTAGGATGAACTGTATAAATTCGTCCTATCGCATCTGAGTGAAACAATACTGGCTGACCATGAACGGCTTTTCCGCGTCTTCGCCTTTGAAAAACTTTTGACGAATTATTCCACGTATAATATTCGGGTACTTCGGCGTATAGCAATGTTTTCGCAAAATCATCTGCTTGACAAAACGAAAAAAATGCAGTTAGAGTTGTTGCTGGTGGTTGCGCAGCTCTTCGCATTGCATTTCCGGGTGTGAAAAAAACGCGTTGACCGTTTTCAAGATGAACAGCTAAATGAACTACAGTTGGATGCCTATCATGGATCGGGAATGATAATATGCGCCATACTGCTTATTTGAACTGATGTATCCGCCCATTTGAAATTGAGTGATCGGTAACATTAGCAACTGCTCCAAAAACAGCCATATCACTGCCCTTGTTGATGTATTTGCAAATGTATTTAATAGATTGAACTGAATTGCAGACCTCTACGTTTATGTGCGCTTTATAAATCATAGATAATAACGGTGAATATGGCACAACCCAACGATTATCAATCTCCAAATCTTGATTTTTAACTCTCAAAGTTACCGAATGGCCATTATCTTCAGTTGATATTCGGGATATCCATCGTTGCTCGTCACTGTATCAGAGACCAAATTTTTTGGAAAACGTTTGGAGCATTTCCCTTCAACCATACAGGGTGAATTCAAATTCAACGAACCACATGGACCGTGAATCATATTTTTGGTGACCACTTCAAACGATTCAGGATCCACTGTTGGATCTGAAATTTCTGCCGAAATCACATCGTCAATTTGATTCGTCCTTATTTTTTCAATCAGCCAAATTAAAATATGCGCATGAGGCAAACCTCGTTTCTGCCATTCAATTGAATACATCAAACATTGAACAGACCCAAATGCACCGTGTTTGACAATTAAATCCAAGAGTGATTTCAATTTTTGTCTAAAAACACGTGATAAAATATCATGGCGATCTTTCGATGTTTGGACAACAAACAATAATTACGAAATTTCTTCCCATTGCGGATTGCACGTGAAGGTGATGAAGAGGTCACCGTAACGGCGAACGTATGACATCGCATCTTGCGCGTACTCAAACATATGACGTGGACTTCCAACATACGATGACGGTAATATTATCGTAGTTCCAACGTTTTGTGCATTACCATCGTTGTTAATGGCATCACGCAAATGAACATACTTTTCGGAACGTAATTTGGCTTGGTTGAATCGAAGAAAATTTAAACGTTCAGATTCAATTTTTGCATACACGTCAACAATATACTGGTGGAAAAGTGCTCTACACCTCAATATGTGGTTGTATTGATTTTTCCGTATCTGCAGCCTGTATGCATAATAATTCATAGCACTAACTTTCTTTGTTCCTTCTCGACCGTCTACTGGATTTATCATTTTAATGTTGAAATTATAGCCATCTTGTCCACTCCAAAACAATATGGGATATTGTAGTGCATCATAACAGCGATGAGTCTCGGATACACGTTTAAGTTGTTCATTTCTACGATGAAGCACAATTTCACGATTATTAAATTGCTCACCAACTATGACTATTGCCACTTCGTCAACTGTTTAAGCATTGAAACGCCTTGCATGTTGGCCAACCGGTGTTTTATCAGCTCGAATAACAATTTTATGATCGTCAGATGGCATTCGATCAAGCGATGTTTTGAAAACCTGAACCAATTCGTTGTGCTCATGGAACATATTTTGCAAATCGAAACTAATTTGTCCCCGCGTGTTGGTAATAATGGCACACCGACGATCAACTTCGTCTTCCGCGTTCCCGATAAAATATAACTGCAAAAATTGGTGGTCTGCGTTGTCGAAAGGTAACAAAGAGCCAAACAAAGATGGTATATTTGACCTTGAATCTGAATAAAATATATGATAGAATGAGAACAAACGTACAATTTGCATAAACAAAACTATTTAATTACCTTGAACGTTGGAATGAAGTTGTCTCTTATATTTGTGGCGCCAAAAGATGCCTATGAGAAGCGTAATCGGTGACACTACTGTACGCGAACGCAACACCTTGTAGATTTTGAATATCACGACATTCATTTGCAGTTGTTGTTGCATCATTTTTCCGTTGATTTGAACGGGACTTTGTTGTGCGTAGTCGATTATTTTTATTGCGATGTGTAATGTCTTGGCTACTTTCACGGCTTCTTGAAGCCACAACTTGAAACGAATTTCGCGTTCGCCGAGCAAAATTAAATCGTCTCGACATTTAACTTTAAAAACCACACAGGTTGGTTTAAAACGCATACATTTTCAAAAGCAACAAATATACTTACACAAATTGCAACTTTTTCAGAAAAAAAATGTTCACACAAAAAGTTATAAAAAACAAAATATATCATCCAATGTTCTGTTCTACAGAATGACACAAAATGAAATGAAGTAGGCGTTCAAACACACATTTTTAGACCAAATTAGAGATTTTTTTTTGATTAATTTTTAATTTTTGTGGAACCTATTTATAGAAAAGTACAAGTTTGTTTGTGCAAACCAGGTCACATTCTCTGGCTATCATTTAAAAAAACAGCATGCAATTTGGTGCACGCGTTGCGGAGATAGCCGCTTACACACAGATTTTTTTCTACAAATTTATAGTATAGATTCTTAAAAAAAAACTAAACCATAAAAAAAACATGATACTATACAAATTTTTAAATCCCGAAATCTATCAGAAAAGTCATTTTTGTCTACAGCGGGAAGAAAAAGTTCAATTTTGTCGAGTAGTGTAATTAGAGATACAATTCTTAGCACCTCTTGTAAAAACGGGAGTTATAAGGTTAGGTTAGATTTATAGGCTGCTCGACCGAAGTCGAGGTAACTCGGAGGCAAGTGAGCCCATTGTGATGTCCGGTGCCTAGGCAGGTTTCGCGAACCATCCCGAGGCCTCTATAAAGAGCACCAGTTTCTCTAGAGGCATGTTTGCCAGGCTGTCCAGGTCTTCTTAGAAGGCTCCGCCGAGTATTCGGGGACGCCTCCGAATGAGTGCAGGACAGTTGCAGAGAGGTGCTGGATGCTCTCTATTTCCTCCTCGTCCCTGCAGCTGCTGCAGAAGTCATGGTGGTCTGTACCATGTGGCCATGCGGCCGATGACACAGTGCCCCGTTATAACTCCTGTCAGTGTTCGCACCCGACTCTTCCTGCAGCTTTGGAGAGTCTTGGTGCGTTTAGGTTCATAGTGGGGCCAAAGCGAGCGAGAGATCTCACAGTTGGGTATGGTGTTCCACCTCCTGTCCGATCTCGTTCTTGCTCGGCCCATCATCTGCGAGATGATGTCTCGTAGTGGCCTCCGTATGTCGCTGACTGCGTCCGCCATTGGCTTGGCCGATCCAGCTCTGGCACACTCGTCCGCACTCTCGTTGTCCGCTATGTCGGTATGACCCGGAACCCACGTGAGTGTGATTGAGTGCGCGCGTATCACGTACAAGTCTGCTTGTGATGGATACCAAGGCTTTGAAGGCAGCCTGACTGTCGACGCAGATTGCTATGTTCCTCGGAGGTATCTCCAAGGTGTGTACTAACTTAGCCGCTTGCCATACTGTATATATCTCCGCCTGGAATACACTGCACCAGTCTGGTAGTCTTAGGGATGTGTTGGTTGCTAGTTCCTCAGAAAAGATTCCAGCTCCTGTCCTTTCGGCCGTCTTTGACCCGTCGGTGAAAATGGAGAGCTCGTTCTGCCCCTTTCCTCGGTGTTTCTCTTTCAGGAGACTTTGGAGTCTCTGGCTGCGGAGCAGCCACTTTTGCTTTGTTGAAGAGTCTCGTCGATTCCTTCCTGACTTCGCTCAGCTCCCGTGACCACCACGGGCTGTGATTGGACTTTGGGGGTCGGCTGATCGGGCAGGATCTGAGAAACTCCTGCTGTAAAGCATTGGTGACATTCTGCGCAACTTCCTCTAGTACTCCCGTTTGAAGTATGTCCCCTTCCGGTGGGTTGGGCAGCACCTTCTGTACGGTTGCGGAGAAGCGGTTCCAGTCTGTCCGCCTGGGATTGCGGTAGGCCTTGGGCCTTATTCCATTTGGTGCTGTACACTATCCTGTAGTGGTCCGAAAAGAAACTCACTAGACACGTGCCAGTCATCGATGGTGAGGGAGTCGCTATTCGAGGCCAGTGCTATATCTATAACCTCTGCACGGTTCTTTTTGCGGAAGGTGGGGTGGTCTCCCCGGTTACACACAAAAAGATTTGTGGACAGAACGTAATCGAACAGCGACTCTTCTCTCGAATGTGTGCCCGTACTTCCCCAGAGGGAGTGATGGGCATTAGCGTCACAGCCTAAGACAATGTCGAGGCCCCCCCTCCGCGCTTGGTGGATGAGGGCCCTGACATCCTCCGAGGGTGGGTCTTCTTCTTCGTACGGCAGGTATGCAGAGGCCAGGTATAGGTTTTTCCCGTCCTCCCTCTCACATAGTGCCGCCGTTAGGTCCGGAGTGCTGTAGCTGGAAGAAAACAGTATACACTATACACTATACAGGTTCTTGGCTTACCCGCGGGGTGTGGCGTGAGAAAGCGGTATCCGCGACCGTTCAGTCCCCGAACCCTTTCACTTACGATCCAGGGCTCTTGGATTAATCTGCACCACCTTCATGCTATTCAGCGGACCTGGGGTGTCGCTGTACTTCTACCGCCAGGGTGCCCATACCGAAAGATATGCGGCAGTCCGTTGCAAGGAGTTTGGCAAGGCTTTCCTGACCAATACTGATCCAGAGTTCCTTGCGTTCCCGTTGTCTCGCGCTATCGCCCTTGTGATGGTCCAGTCAGATGTCTCCAGGATCCGGTTCTGTGACTTGATCAGAACGAGTGTGTCCTCATCCGCCTTGATCAGGGGAGGAATCCACACCTTCATGATCGTTCTCCTGGGAATCTGATTCGTGCCGCTCCTGGCCAAAGTTCACCAAAACCTTGCACTGGGGCTTTGAGAAACTCAAGAGTTTCTGCATTGCCACAGGCCACTGCCTTGGCTCCCTTATACCACTTGATATTTATCTGCGCGCACAATGGCATCCGTCATGGCGGTCAGGATCTCCGATTCTGCCTTCAGCCAGTGGACGTCCGAAATCTTCCTCTCTGGGTCACTTCGGTCGATGATGGCTACCTGCAGCTCGACCAGCGATCCTAGGATGGCCAGAATGTCCTCTGATTTCCGTCCTCTGCCGCTTGAGCCTTGGCCCTCGACCAGTCGGTTCCACCGGTGCCTTCTGTACAGAAGGCGTTGGTGGTGCCTTAGCGCTCGCCGTCTTCTGCGTCGGAGGTGTAGTCTTCCCACTCTGCTTCCCAGACACCTTTTCCCCTTTCTCCGTTAAGGGGTTGGTCCACCTTCGTCTTCGTGCCAGCTGATGCCGACGCTGAAGTCGACGGTTTGGGGTCCTCAGTCACCGCTGCGTGTGCGCTTTGGGGGGCTTGGTCTCCGCTGTTAGGAGGGACTTCGTTGAGCCGCTCGTACACCTCCGCACGTTTTGCTCGTGCTTTTTCTTGAGGCTCTTTTCCCTCGCGTTCAGCGTATCGGGGGGTCGTTGGCTAATACCACGAAGGTATTTTGCCGATGCCCTGTATCCCGACAGCCGCTTGCATAGGGTCTCAGCCTCCTTCTTCTCGTCCGTCACAGTTGGTGGACCCGAGTCAACCTGGATGTTGGGAGCCGTGAATTGTGGCTCCGCCTTCTGCGGCTGCACGTTGTATCCGAGTTGAGAGAAGGCTGTAGCCAACTCTGCCTCCGACACTGAGGGACCAGTGAAGTCGAAGCTTCCGTCTGTGGTTCCCGGTTCCAGGTCCTCTATCGTCCCTTTCTGTCTGCGGATCCTTTTGTTGCTTGTGACATTACACGATTTGACAGCCAAGCACTCCACTGCCATTTCGGGTTTCCTGCAGTCACAGGATATCGACGGGCCTGCGCTCGCACCCCCAATCACCGCCGGTACTGAGTCTCCGACTCCCTGCACCTTAACCGTTGTTGCGTTATCGGACATTTCACCATAACGTCTGTGTTTTATCCCTCCCGCCAGGGAGAACTACTTTTGGCTTCAGCGCTCCCCCATGACCTGCCCGGCTTGGGTGGCCCTTCTGCGATACTGCGTTTTTAGTTTTTTCGTATCTTTAAAATTGTGCCTGCCACAGATTTTCGTCCTTTGTGAGGGCGGGAGGGGGCAGGGCGAATCTTTGAAATGCACTTGTAGCAGTGTGTATTCACATGAGTCTGGAAACCAAATTTGGTTTCTCTAGCTCTTATAGTCTCTGAGATCTAGGCGCTCATCAAGACGGACAGACGGAGAGACGGACGGACAGACGGACATGGCTCTATCGACTCGGCTATTGATGCTGATCAAGAACATATAGACTTTATGGGGTCGGAAACGTTTCCTTCTCTGCATTACACACACATCCACTTTTACCACAAATCTAATATACCCCTTTTTTGAGTACAGGTATAAAAATTCATGCCAATAAATATTTTTTCTCGAATTTCTGAGTTTTTTAAATTTTAATTTAAAAGCTTAATAACTCCACTTAGCTCAGCTAAAAAGTGGGTCGGATTAAGCTCATTTGTCAGCTTTCAGAACGAAAGTTATATGCAACCAGATATAAGATACTTAAGTTATAGGTATAGGTTTTTCCCGTCCTCCCTCTCACATAGTGCCGCCGTTGGGGCCGGGGGGGTTAGCTGGAATTAAACAGTATACACTATACACTATACAGGTTCTGGCTTACCCGCGGGTGTGGCGTGAGAAAGCGGTATCCGCGACCGTTCAGTCCCCGAACCCTCACTTACGATCCAGGGCCTTGGATTAATCTGCACCACCTTCATGCTATTCAGCGGACCTGGGGTGTCGCTGTACTTCTACCGCCAGGGTGCCCATACCGAAAGATATGCGGCAGTCCGTTGCAAGGAGTTTGGCAAGGCTTTCCTGACCAATACTGATCCAGAGTTCCTTGCGTTCCCGTTGTCTCGCGCTATCGCCTTGTGTGGTCCAGTCAGTGTCTCCAGGATCCGGTTCTGTGACTTGATCAGACGAGTGTGTCCTCATCCGCCTATCAGGGAGGAATCCACACCTTCATGATCGTTCTCCTGGGAATCTGATTCGTGCCGCTCCTGGCCAAAGTTCACCAAAACCTTGCACTGGGGTTTTGAGAAACCAAGAGTTTCTGCATTGCCACAGGCCACTGCCTTGGCTCCCTTATACCACTTGATATTTATCTGCGCGCACAATGGCATCCGTCATGGCGGTCAGGATCTCCGATTCTGCCTTCAGCCAGTGGACGTCCGAAATCTTCCCCTCTGGGTCACTTCGGTCGATGATGGCTACCTGCAGCTCGACCA